AAACCTTGATATAAATAAATCGCTTAACTTGATATAAATATTTTTTTAAGATCTACTATAAAACATGACTCTGGGAACCTTTATATTGAACAAATTTATTATGTATTTATATTTTTAATCGCTGAACTTTACGTACAATTAAGGCAAATGTATTCAAGGCTTCACAATGTTTATCATACGTAATAAAACAATTCAGCCATAAAAATTTACATAACGCGCGTAATGAATGAGGTCTATACTCGGCGCCATAATGAAACAAATTAATTAAACTCTTTCATTATTTTCATTTTATATGCAAAAACTCTCTTAATGTTTTAAAAATATTTAATATTGTTTCTTAAATTATTTATCAAACAACGTCATTATGAATGCTTGTTAATTTTTAAAAAATTCTTTAGTAAGTTTGAATAACTATTCTTCGTACATTTCCTACAATGGAAAAGCAAGTAAGCTGTTTAACCTGCTGAACTCACTTATTCATATTTGCGATTAATTTTAAAATTGCTTCAGTTATTATTTTTTTGTTGCAGACAATGAAAGATAATTATCATTACCATTTTGATCTGATTTAAACTAATTTAATCAGGATTCTTCTGATTATTGCAACATCATATGATTTTTTAAAATGAAAAAGATAACAAATTTAGAATTCAAGCAGAATGAAAAATGCAAAATCTAAAACATATAATACATCTGAATAAAGTTTCGTATACCCCAGATTTTACATTTGAGCTATACGAGTATATTATCAGCGTAACAAATGTTAGACTTGTATAAGTATTGTACATTTCGATCCAGCAAATGAAATAATGATTTTTGTTTCTCCATTTGTTATATATTTCACACTACATTTTTCAAATGTGATAAAGTATGTTAGTATACCACGTATGACTCATTTCAATTTCAGTTTGATTACATAATACATATATAAAGAAAGCTCTAAACATCACGTAGAGATCGTAAATTTTGTTGGATATTTACAATTAGTACATTGGATCTATATCTATTTGAAGAATTCAGAATAATGGAACAAGTTTGATGCCAGGAAAATTGAAACTTATTAGAAAGAAATCACTTGGATCATGGACTTTCCTTTCCAGGTCTTTTCTTTGTCATTTCCATGAAGTACTACGGAATATTGACATTTTCCAAGCTTAAATGCCGAAGACTTATAGTTGAAATATTTTTAACAGAACCATTTCTAAGAATTGATTTGCCGATTTAAATTAAAATTCTAGTCAAACGTCGTTGGAATCGTATTTGCTTTAAAAATTTACGCACAGTTCAAATAGTTTTTCTGTAACTTTCTGAAGTCTTAGTATTATTTCACATAGCTTGCTCATGACATAACTGTATGGTAAATATGCCAGAAAACTTTTCATACGATGGATAAATTAATAATATAAAATCATGGAATCTAATAATAGAAAGGGAATTTATCGAATTATAAAGCGATTTATAATAAATATACGTTTTATTCGGGCGCCTAGGGTTATCAAATATCAATAATTATTGCCAGTATAAAAACATAATTTAATTGCAGAAGATCTTACATAATTTTAAATGTTAACAAGATTTGCATGAATGATATGAATGGATTATGACGCTATGAAGAAACTGAAATATTGTTTATATAAGAGGTGAGAATTTTTAGATAAAATGTATCAAAATTAAATAGTATTAGTTATTGTATTGCCCCTATAAAGTGGGTTTGTGATTTATTTTATTGCTCAGTTTTTAAACGATTTCCAATTAAAGAAAAATCAAAAAGCGTAAAAATTTCTTTTTTCTTTCAGACAATTATATCGCTCTGTGAAATTTAATTGTATCTTTATAGATATACCAAATAAAAGTCTTAATTTAATAGTAATTTTAGGTTTTCTTCAAATTAAATGCTTCAGTTTCGAAATAAATTCTTAAGCTGACTAATAGCGAAATTGGTTTCGCAAATAGCCCTATTTTATAGCCATTAGCAAGTGTCATCTATCCTGTGCCAAGAAATTACCTATTCATTATTCTTAAATATCCAAATAAATTAGAACATTACTTTAAGGTGTATAAATGAATTTTACTATATCTAAACCTGAAGTCTATATTGTATCGATTAATCGCCAATTTCCTAAATAGATACAGCTAATGTAATAGAATCTTCCGTATTTTATCACCTATATGACTCATAGAGCAAATTATTGTTTTCCTATACTGCCAATATATGCTAACTGGTTTATTTTCGTAATTGGCACATGTCCCATAATACTTTGTATACAAACTCTAGGAATTAGAATGGCTAACATTATATATGTTTTTGATTTTATTACTACCGAGATCCTATTTTACTAGGTCAACGGATCACGAGGAACATGACGACAAGATCTCATGTTTGGGATAAAAAAATTATTTTAAATTTAGGCATTTAATCCTTCGATATTGTAATTGATACATGTTTATAAAATAGGTTTGTAATTAAAATGTAGTTACAAAACACTTCAAAATTTTGGATTTTTGTTAGTACATATATATTTTTCTTAAACATTTGAGCTATATTCATTTCCTAACATTTCAATTTTGTCTTTTTATTGTAGTCCTTACTTATTATAATTTAGCAATTTTGGTAAAATAGTACGGATTAAATGAAAAACCAAAAAGAGTTAAAAAGTTTAGACATTTTGCAAAAAAGCTGTATTTTTTATAGCTCAATAAAAGCTGAGTTGAGCACAAATATATTTAGTTATTCGTATTTTTACTATAATTTTGGTATTGAAGCCTCGATAGCCATAAGTTTTTCGCAGAACTATTCCGATGTGCTCTCAAAGATAAAATTATAATTCATATTATTATACGTTCGATAAAGAGAGCATAATTTACTGCGTCCTAAGAGACATAAATATATAAAAGGGACATTCATGATGGATATATCGTCACAGGCGATTAACGTAATACGTGATAAAATCTAACAGCCTAAGGCTCTAAGTTGAATGTTAGTTGAGTTATTTTAACTAGATTCTATTCTGCTCTTCTCTCCAAGCTATTTATGCCGATTAACTTCTAAATGGTGCGTTTAGCAGAATGGCATAAAACTTGAGATTGTAAAGACAGACACTCCAACGGATTCCATAGAAATTTATGTCTCGTATTAGTATTCATATACCAATCTTTCTTCGCGAAAAGATTTTCCATAAATCTTCTTTGTCCGAAGAAACATCTATTAACTACCTTGAGTTAAAAGAGAGGAGTAGTTACATAAATCTCTACTGGAATGTATGGGTATATGCATTTTCCCATATACAATAATAGGTCAAAATATATTTCCCTATTATATTAACGTCATTAATTTTTTATAGAGATACTTTTTGAAAAAATTAACGAGAGTTAGCTTAATGCTACTTTACTCATGTGTGTGTTTGTAATTCTTGTTCAGGCACATTAAACTAATTTATTTACCATATATTCATATTAATCATGTTGTTATCTGCATCGTTGTTCATAATATTATTTTTTAAATTTTAGGAGGAGAACTCCGTTCGAACGGACGATCTCCACATAAATACGTCATACAGCAGCCTTCATATAGTGGAAAACACCCTTTCTCATACCACGGGGGCGAGCGTATTTCCTAATTGCTCTAGCCATGGCAGCTTTGGTAGCAGCTTTTCTATTAGCCTGGTTCTTATCACCTGGTAAGTGGTCATATTCTTAAAAAAATCTGAAAAAGCCTGAACGTTACCAAAGAGCACTTCAATGAAACAGATAAATTGCGGATTCACTTTCATTTACTTAGAGAAGTTCAACTAAAAAACACTTCATTTTTGTAATCGAAATAAATTCATTACTGTTGTGTAATAAAAATCAAATTTTTCGTTTTCAAATATAAAACAAACAAAAAATTGCTTGATCTTTCTCACGAAACCATCGGAACGGAGTTCGTCGGTTTTGCTAGTATAATATATAATAAGCCGTATATTCTATTATTAAAATCTTTTAGTGATCACACACATAATGTATATGTATATATTGCTACAAATAAATTCTATTATAAACTTATGCAGTACAGTTTTTTCACCTGTAACTTTATGTGATCAAAGATCGAAGTGCCTCACTAAGCAGATAGTGTATCATCTAATTTATTTTACAAATCAAAAAGAATCTGTACATGCTTCTGTTCAGACATGAATGTTAAGAATCGATTGAGTACTACAATTATGTCTTGCAAATTTTTGCATATTTTTTCTGATAGATTCGTGCAAATTTATCGTATTATTTATATGCTGATCTAGAGAATTTTGATATTGAACACATTCCACTTAACAAATATGGAACATAGTAGATATATACAATATCTAATAAAATTTCATTTTACTTCGAAACCTCTTATATTATTTTAATAGTCGTTTTTTATAATTTTTCTTTTTGAATTAACCAATTATTGAAAATGGCGAAAGATAGCTTTTAACTTGTCATATTGGTTACAACATATCATATGAGTTAACTACAATATTTCACATATAGTTATATATTTTTTCTAGAAAACAAATTCATCCAAACTTTATATAATATTTGACAGCTATTTCAATTTGTTACGTGAAATGCCTAACTACGAGCTCAATGAATTCCAGAGCCTGTAATTTACACTGAATGAAATATTTTGTTAGCAAAAATATATTTAATATATAATTCTACTTCAAATTCTGTTCTAGCATGTTCATTTGTAAATTGCAATTTGCTGACAAACTACTCAAATTAAAAAATAGTGGTATTTTGTCTTACCAAATCAGTCTTGCTACCAAATGTGGATCTGATCCGGCAAGAAGGAGTATATCTACGTTTGCAATTAAATCACAATCACTCATGTTCCGTCCAGGTTCTTCACACAAACAATATCTTTTATATCTATATTTCTCTATACATTGATCAGTTCTTTCAACTGTACGAATATTTTAAGTTAGACATTTGTTAATTTATTATTATTGATGGTGAGTGTGATCATTCTTCATTTGTTTTAGGTTATGGTAATGCCACTAGTCTATGTCCCATCGATCAAAGAAACGCAGCCAAACTCGGATCTGATGGTCCTTTGGAGGAGTTGATGTACCACGATGATAAAACAGTTCATGATCCCAATGCTGGTACAGGAACAGAAAAGGAACCTTATCGACCTAGCAGATACAAGTAAGTTCAAAATTACTAAATTTAACTAAAATTCACTATTTTATTTTGCATATATTTATTTTGATATTATCAGCAATAAAAATTCATTAGTCACGGTAGAAAAAATGAAAGTGTAAGAATTAAATTAAATTATAATAGCTTTTAAGTTCTGTGTGCACTTTATGAAAATCATGAAATGGAAATATTATATTAATAGTGTCGTTTAAAGTCGTTGTAGAATATGCAAAAAATAAACCAGAAGAATTACAATTAGTACAAATACAATATATATCTGAAGTATGAGGTATATATTACATTAAAACATTTGAGTCCGGTGAATTCTAAAATAAAATGATATCTTAGCCATTTCTATTATTTTTATAAAATGAAACTTTAGATAGAATGTCACTCCTGCGGAAATCCCCGCCGTAGCCAAAGGATTAATATTTTACATACTTGTTTATAGAAATTTTGAATTCTTCTCTATTATTTTTATTTTTGTATGTATATAAAAATATTGTCACTTCGTATTGGAACTTATTTTAGAAGTATTATATAAGGGCATCACCATCGTTGCTAAATATCTCATATCCACATGAAATATCTAAATAAATACTAAATATTCATTATCAAATATATTGAGAATGGACAAAAATTCCATGAGGTAAAATTAAGTAAAGTGTTGCAAAACAATGAATGAAATGTGCCATGCATTTACTAAAATAATCATTTGTATAACGTTTTTTTAAGTTGAATAAATATTCATGATAATTTATTGTAGGTGTTAGTTTCGAAAAAAGTTCATGTACTAAGTGATAATTTTTTCTGTGATTTTTAAATCGGAACTGATATAATAACAGAGTCAGATAACTTTGTCATGTTTGTAAATGTTTGTGATTTGGGCTATGTTTGATTTCCTCAAAGGCGCCGTCAAGTGCAAACGCAAATATGTTTTGAAATTGGTAGACAAAACATTATTGATCAGTTTTTTTTTCACATCCTGTTGATTGGTTGAGTAAACTTTGAAACTGAGACAGGTCACTCGAAAATTTCCTTCTGAAATTGTATTAGCACTGCTGATTCATGGAGTTAAATTATGTTTATTTATGATATGTAATTCCTGTATAAATATTTGATTTGGATGTCTCTTATAAAATAATTACGTGTTGCCATAAATTAAAAACATATTGGAAAGTAATATATTAGTAAAAAAAACAATTAAATGCTGATATTTTAGGTAAATTATTAATTTCAATATTTGCCGTACCAACATATTTTTTGTATGTTTTTTTATTAACTACTATATAACTTTCAGGATCTTCCTATCTCCAAATATATCATCCTCCCAAACGTATGGTGAAGTTTACATCGACTTCGAATGCTTTGAGAATGATGCTGAAATCATCATAGATATTGGTGGCGACATGTTGATCCAGGCTGAGAAAATGACATTACACGATGTTAGTGATACCCAGGAACAAAGTATCAATATTAAAAAACATGATTACTTGCCGGACTTTGCAACCAGGACAAGGTAATTGTTGATTTTACAAGTACTATATATAAGTAAATCTGCACTTTGAAGAACATCAATTTTAGTGCTGAACAAATCACGTCATTCGCATTTCAAGCGTATCTAAAATAAATTCAAATTTACGTATACTCCTTGGTAATAAAATTTCAAGAGCTAATAGAAATTGGGAATCTCTCCAAAATTCTGCACTACTTAATAAGGATCCAGCTACATTGCATTATTCAATAAAATATACAATTTAAATTTAAGACAAACTTATCATTCTTTTGAATGATTTTTTAAGTTTTATTTTACTTCTTTATGTCAACTGTTTTGATTCAAGTTGACTTTAATTATTTGATTATAAAGTAAGCTAATGTCTAATATGACCACACTTCTCCTTTTTATTCTGAGCAAATTATAATAAACTTATTTTCTATGTTAATTACTTGTGAAAATATTTTAAATTCTGTATCATCTTATATTAGTGTTCATCGTGTTTTAAGTGCAGATAGGTATTTTAGATAATCAAATTTATGTTAGTAAAAAAATATTATTTTTACCTGTTGTCTTATATGATAAAGGAAATTTCACTTTATAACATATTGGTGTACGTTTCAGATTTTCTATAACCCCCGAAAAAGCTGTAGAAGGCAAAAAATATAGAGTGTATATGCCATTTAATGGAAGACTCAACGATAAATTGCAAGGTTTCTATAAAGCCAGTTACATAGACCTCAGTGGACACCAAAGGTATGTCAAATTTTTATTATCTCTTAATTTTAATGTAAATTTGCTGACACCTTTTTTACTTCAGTAAATTAAAATTGGGTTTCTATGCCATTAAAATGGGTTTATTTTAATTGCTACATCATAATATTTATTTTATTGCATAAGTAGAATCTTCCTAATATCACGTAATAAAAGGGAGATAAAACCATCAGCAATAATAAAAATGTCAACACGAATTTTATTGTACTCTTTTCAATTAGTATATTTTATTAAATGTAATAAAAATTGTCGTAAAATTTGCACTTATATTAAAAGCATTATAATGAGATATTGAGATGAAAAAGTTTTACGTTTCTTATTTAAATATTGTTTTTATGCAGCATTATTATTTCCTAAGTTATAAAAACCAAAGTTATATATATTATAAAATTATATAACTACATCAGTTTCAATAAGCAATATATTATATTGAATTTGTAATTACATTGCAATAAGTATAGTACCTCATATTGTGGTTAAGTGGAAGAACAATTAATCTAAATGAAGCAAAAGTTTAGAGTTTGTGAATGAAATTCAAATCATCTCTTTAATGTTTTTATTTTTATTATTTATGAGACAGTGTATAATTTATGTATGTATGCATATAATTTACATATATTATAAATCGAAGTGAAATAGAGTTGAATAAATATTTTCGACTTCGTGGTATGGAAATAATCAGTTCATTTTGTTTTGTTTCGGCATGGGGAAAATTCTTAATATTGATGAATATGATTATTAATCTTTCATTAAAAATAGCTTTCGAGACTTGTCATTATCTATCCATAAAAGTACTGGTGTATTACTTAGCACTTACTCGTATATCTCGACAGCATATGCTTTTTCCACAAGAGTAAATGTCAAACAACCATGTAAAATGATGAAGAGATACTTGAAAATCTATTTTTCTCAACAGCCACTTCTTCCGTCTAGACTTAAACCTTTCGACCGACGTTTCCGTGTACATGACTCCTGTCATGTGTAACTTCTCATAAAGGCATCTGCTTTCTGTATTGTCTTTGCAGCGGTGCTTCAGAAGATCATTAGATCTTATGACCTCAGAATGTGTGAGGTCTTCGTGTTTAAAAATTAACATACACCTACTAGAATTGTACTAGTTCGAATTCTTCACTTACATGCAAGTTTTGTATTTTTTAGTTATTTGTTCCTAGCTTGAGAAATGAAGTTTATTTCTTTACTTTTGGAATTATCAAGCCGAATGGTAGACATTTATCTTGTATTTATAACGTATGTTTTTCTTGTTGGTTTTCTCATAGAAATTTGAAGTTTGTTTTACTGTAAAATTTCATACTGCCCACTTTATTGCCAATTGATAACCATGTCAACAAAGCCTGACAACCAGACTGCCCGAGGTAGGTGTCAAATCTGGTGTCTCTGATTGTGAAGAAATCCTTAAAGTTGAAAATTAAAAATAAAATTGAAATATTCTTAGGATGCGTGATAGGTCGTAACTGATTGGTTTAATCGAAAGACTTTATATAAAAAAGCTCAACTACTCTCAATCAAAAAATTGATTAAGATTTAATTCACTGCAGACTTTTATAGCCCTTCGTATTAAGCTTCAATAAACTTATGGAGATAGATAAAAGCTTGGGTATGAAACAATAACTATCATGATCTAGTGCTAGAGTTCACACGATTATGATCATTCTCATAAAACGAGACGAGTTAACAAGAGTATGTCAATTTTACTATCAATTATTATTAGTTTTCTCGAATGCAATTCAACTGCAGGAAGTAATAAAATATATAGACCTAGTCGTTAAAGAATTGCGCTGTTCCTATTTCTAGTTTTAATAACCGATTGCTCGTGATCATTTTTTTTTACGATCGGTCATCTTCTTTGGTTATCCTTGAATTAATTATACTGATGAAACTATTTTTCAAATGCAACTTCAAGTTTTTAATAACACTTCATTTTCAATATTTATTAGTTTTCAATATTTATTTTATTAGTTGTTTTGTTTTTATTTTGTTTATCTAATAATAATAATATTTTTAAGCATTGTTAGCAGTTTTCATGGTTCTTACATAGAAGAATATTAAAATTCAAATGTAAAAGTAAAGTCCTGAAACTTTCAAAACTTATAATTCTTAAAACATAGATTTGGCGAAATAAATTAAACCTATATATTCATTACAATGTAATTAAAAAAATGATCCAGGTTTAAAACTATTTTCTATTACATAGTTTTTCATTATTATTTTGTTATATCTACTAATCAAGATAATCTAATTGTCTTTAATACTTATATATTTATTTTATACTTCCCATTTGTTTATACAAATATTTCTCAATACTTTTCTAAATTTAACCGAAACCTAGTGTTCTGGATTTTTGGGTAAGCATTTTATACAGTAGTATCGTAATTGGCTACTTTTAATTGCAAATATATTTGTTTTATTTTCAAGTATTAAGGGATAATACGACCATGGCTATTTATATATGTAGGTGTTGATTTTAATTGTATGTCCTTGAATATGCTCATTCAAACAAAAGTTTTATGTTATAATTATTATTTCAAGTACGACATTTTCATAATAATCATCTTATGTAACTGAGCTTATGGGTTATTTCATTTCATCTATATGCACAATAAGTTAATCTTAGTCATTTATTTTTCATGTAATATATTGCTTTACTGTCTACGTGTGCCGATCGATGAATGAAGCAAAATTTATATGCATCTGACGTAAGATCGCATAATACTCGATTATTGATGCGTTCATGTCATTAATTTTTATCCGATTAAAATTTGCATACCGTAATATATTTATAATAAACACAACAAAACATTAAAGGATATAGCATCCTAAGGGTAATGCAGCACCATATGTTGATATTTAATTAATGGATTTATCTATTTTTTTTTATTTATAATAATATGCTAATTTAGCATAAATTTAAATACTCCGTGTAATTAACTCGTCAAGTTTTTGTTGTTATGCCTTGGGATATTTTTCAGCATTTTATTTATCAGTATCATATTTGCATTCATGGAAAAGTTGGCCCAAAGCGGATTTATTAAATGTCAAAATGTTTTGAACCGAATGCATTAAGCATTAAGTTCTGATTCATATTAGTTCAGGTGGCATGATATGCTATGCAAAATATCAAATGTTTCTTTCTTCCATCAGGCGCAGTGATTTTAATAATAGCTTCTGAAAATTTCATCCGGGTGTCCATTAAAATTAGTCCCATAGCATTTTCATCAACGAATCATATTCTATACTTTTTTACCCAATATTTTTTATTGAAAAGGGTAAAAAATCACTATTATTATTATAATACGAATAGCATTCTAATTAAATTCTAAGGCCAACAAAAACATAGCAAGTGGTGCATGGCATTGCGCCTCCAGGAAAATTGCAATCAAGCCTCTATATTATATTATGATAACTAAAACTAATTACTAATCAATAAAAAATTATCAATGATTAATAGCAATTCTTTCAAATATTTTTAAATAAATTATTATAAATACAGTAAGTTCCATAATACGTATGTTATAGATAATATAAATATTATAAATTAGGCGATGAACGGTATTCAAATATTAACCCTTCCTACTCGGATGCCGCTCCTCCGTCGGCAAAATTCATATAAATCTCGGAATTTTCAAGTGGAAAGTATTAATACTTGTTGGTACAAGACTTACAGAAAAGGAAATAACGTCTTTGTTAATTTTGAAAATCTGTAAAAGATATCTGATAATTTCCCTATGAGATTACTTGATAACCAAATATCAGTTTTTGGAGCTTTCTTCTGCATGTCTGAAACCGCAGGACTTGCTTTTCTAAAAACGTAATCAATTTTTCACTCCATCAATGCAAGTAAAACGCTTTTTGAATCTATAATGATCCGATGCTACGTTCTCCCATAATCTGAATTTCTATTTTTTTCACTTTTTGCCTCATTAAACAGCAAATCAATGTCTGTTATTCAAAACGATGATCCATGCTCTCGAAATCGTTGACGAAAAATTGTATCGGAACACATACATAAATACAAACTATACACACACACATATATATATTCATTGTTTTCTAAGGTATACCAAAATGTTCTGAAGGCTTTGAAACTCTTAGAGTTAATATTGACTATTAGAGTTAATATACTATTTGAACTTGACATGACTTTGGGTTTAATAAATTGATTGTAATTCTTAATATGTCGAAGGTTACATATCATCCAATCCTTTTCTTCGTGATCAAATTTCTCCTACGGCTCTCACACGACTTTAGAATGACGATCGCTAAGCTAATGTATTTTAGGCGCGGGATGTTATTTATTTATTACACTCGTTTAACACATTAACGGCCGGTGAAGCCAGAGAAGTCACCTCGTGATTATCATCACATTTAACACTAATTCACTAATGAAACAACACAAGTGACAAAGAAAAAACAAAACGACTTTCTTGATACAAGCGTTTAAAATGCATTCATGTTAACATGTATGATTTAAGATACGGATGATAGTTGAAACTAAGTTTTTTATTACAATCATTAGGTGATTATTAGTTCTTTATTTAGATTTGGTACCGTCTTTTAATCACGTGATCGATTTTCTGGGATTTTTGGACCCTTGGTGATACATGGTGACATTTAAAAGTACGTACCTGAAAAATTGTGAAATGTGAAATATGAATTTTGAATTATATTTTTATCGATTAAGATGCATCACAGGATTTATTTTTATCGCAGTTTTTTTTTATATTCACATTATTATGCATAATCGTTTGTAAGGCAGTTATGATGATAATTACAAAGAACCCAAATTGAACCAATTCAATTCAATTCAATGTCCTAATGAAATAATTAATGATATGTCATCAATCTTCAGATATGTCCTCACTATTAAATTCCTAACACCAAATATTTCATCTGATTCAATTTCGTAGACAATGAAAGTGATTTATAGACTGATATAAATATTTTATTTTACTTTTTGTTATCCA